TTCCATGCCTACTTTAGTAATTCCCATTAAAGAATTGGTCGCTATCTGTAGATAAGAAGGCGTTGACCAGGTTTTCGTCGATTCCACTCACGGAATCGGGTGCGTCGACGTCGATATAAAACAAATCAGAGCTGATTTCTACACTAATAATTTGTACAAGTGGTACTTTTTTCCCCCATCTGTTGCCTTTTTGCACTATAAAAGGTCTATAAACAATTCCGACTTGCACCATCCCTTTGCTTCGCACGAGCATGGTAATGGATTAGCTATCGAAAGTGCTTTGATAGGAAGCAGAGATTTTAGTGCTCAGTTGGTAGTTCCAAAGGTTTTGGAGTTCATTAATAGGTTCGAATTTTTGAATCGTTTGGGTCAAGAAAAGGAACCATGAATGTGTTGTCGAGATAGGGAAGATGTTGGTTGATGCATGGGGAACTCATCTGGGTTGTCCTCCGAAGATGTGTTCGTGCATCGTTATGGTCGGTTTACCTACTTGTTTGGGGTTTTCGAGTGACCATGATGCTTTGAACTTGAGGACTTGTTTAAGGGAAAAGTTTGGTGTTGAAGTTCTGAAATATTATCGATCACCCAAGGATGGGGAGGATGGTGTAGTAACGGGGTATGCAATAATCTCTTATCAAGTTTATAACAAGTTTGAGGATTATTACAAGTTTAGTGGGAGGGGAGGATAAAAGATAGAAGAAGAAATAAGGAGAATGGGGAGGGGAGGGTAAAAGAAGAAGAAGAAGAAGAAGAAGAAGAAGAAGAAGAGAAGAAGAAGAAGAAGAAGAAGAAGAAGAAGAAGAAGAAGAAGAAGAAGAAGAAGAAGAAGAAGAAAGGGGTGGCAGTTAACGACAGTTAAGTGCACATCAACAAAAACTAACGGTAGGTAACGGCAGAGACTTTACTGAAAACGAATTAAAAGTTTGATGATTGTATTCTAAGTTTTAAAAGTTTGGGGACTATTTTTATAATTTACCCATATTTTAATTCTGTTGGTACTTAACTAAAATTAAAAACGACGGGGTAAACTATTTCAATATCACTAAAATTTTAGAATTTATATAAATTTTATCATTAAATTTTAAAAGATTTCAAACTTGTCCTTTCACTATTAATAGTTATGATATTTTATTGAGTCATTTAACTATTAAAAATTATAAAATGGTAATTCAACTGTTTATTATTTCCAAACTTGTCATTTGCCATTAAAAATCGACAACATTATGAGCTAAACGTCAGGGACGGAACTACATAGAGAGTGGGAGGGGGTTTTGCCCCTCCCAAAATTTTTGGTTTAATAGCATTTTTGGTCCTTATTAGTTTAAATTTAAATAAAATTAGAATTTTGCACCAAATTTCTTAGATTAAATACATAATAAATCCTTATTATCTTGGATCTAGATACTTTGCACTCCCAATATTTAATCCTAGTTCCGAACCTACTGAACGTTAACATGTTGACCATGATATGATAAAAATTTAATCCCAAAATCTCAAATGACTACCATATCTCAGTCATCATGTTAACGTCCAGCTTAGACAATCGCCAATTTTGTAACAAAAAAGGACGAGTTTGGAACATAATGAATAGTCAAGTGACCATTTTGTAACTTTTAATAGTCAAGGGACTTAACAAAGTAATATTTTATTGTCGAATGATCATCCTGTAACTTTTAATAGTCGAGGGACTTAATAAAGCAATACACTTTAGTCGGACTATTTGTCTACTTTACCCTAATTTAATTGTAAAAATATAAAACATTATGAATGATTTAATTGATAATTTGGGTATAAAACATACCGTGGCATTGACATATTGGCGTTTTCCAAATTAAAGAACAAAATAGTTAATAATTTATACTTTAAAGTTTCAAAGTAATTATTTAAGCATTAACTATTTTCTTAATACTGTATTGTAAGGTCTCAACACATTATTTTAGAGATAGATCTTGCAAGGGAGCATACAGGGGCCAAGAATCAGAATTTCTTAATGAAGTCATAAATGTGCATGCTAATCTCCTCTGGTTTTTCTTGGTTGATAAAGTGGGCTGTTCCTTCCATGAAGACTACTTCCTGCAGCAGCGGTACGTCTTTCTTGAATCCGCCGTCGTGTATGTATTCCTTTACACCAGGGATGTGGTATGTAATGTCAAGGTTGCCGACAATGAATTTAACCGGCACCTTGATCTGATATCCGGTCCAAGGAGCCGTAAGTTCCCAGTTCCTGTAACAAACAATATTGAATTAGCTTGGCTACACAAATGTGTTTCCTTCAACAACTTCTTAGCATGCTAGATTCAACGACCTACTGGTCCATAGCTCGATAATAGTTCAGTCCTCCAGTGAATCCTGTCCGATTGAATTTGTTGGTAAAGTAATCGATGTCGTGTTCAGAACACCAGGAGGGCAGGGGTGGGGTATCAGGCCACCCTCTCAATCCAGTTTCTTTAGGTATACAAAATGGTCGTGGATCACGAGAGGTAAAACACAAGTTAAAAAGCTTTTCAGTGCCCAATTGATCTAAGTCCTCTTCAATCTCCCCGGGTTCCTAGAGCGCAATGAAGTAACATAAACAGTGAAAGCAAAATCAAAGAATCAAAACAACTAATCTAACTCTGTAAGTGTTGCATGAACCAATTACCTGGAACCTACAAACATACTAATCGTCCCCAAACAAAGCCCTGATCCCTTCCACGGGCTTCACCATAGGGTTCCTTGGCTGATACGCCACGCTGAGGTTCACCAAAGCATGGACTCTATCAGGCCTGAACTGGCAAAACGACCAAGCAATCAGTGCGCCCCAATCATGTCCCACCAAATACACTCGCTTGACACCGAGCACGTCGAGGAGTCCCACGAGGTCTCCCACGACGTGGAAAATGGTGTACGAAGTCGTGGAAGCGGGAGCATCGGTGTCACCATATCCGCGAAGATCGGGAGCCACACAACGGTACCCAAGAGATGACAGTGAAAGGAGCTGGTGGCGCCATGAGTACCAAAGCTCGGGAAACCCGTGCAGAAAGAGGATAACTGGACCCGAACCAATCGACGCCACATGCATTTTTATGCCGTTGGTGGTCACCGTGGTGTGCTCTATCTTCTCCATGTTCGCAGAATCACCAGTGTTGGGGAATACTATGACAATATTATTGCATTTTAAAGTGGAGCCTTGTAATATTTTTTGAAGTTATTTCCAAGAAAACAGTTACCAGTCTGTCATAAAAACAATTGAAATTCAAAATTTCAGACGGCTAGATTCCTTTTATGACCGGACAATGCTCGTAATTCACGGAACATTCTTAGGAAATAAAGTCGGGGAGAAAGCATTTATGGTACTACTTTATAGAATATGCAATAGCATTAATCGCCCTTCTTTGAGTGATCATATCAATTCCCTTGCACGCATTGATTTAGCCAAAAATTTAGATTGTACTGCTTCTAGAACGTGGATGGGATAAAATATTGTGATCATTGTAATAAAAGATGTATGATTTTTCTATTATTTAAATACATCTTTTTAACATGTATTATTTGAATAATTAAAAATAGGGTAAAGTACAAATAGTTCTATGACTATAGGGTATCACTTTTAGAACATGGATGAGATAAATATTGTGATCATTATAATAAAAGATGTATGATTTTTTCTATTATTTAAATACATCTTTTAACATGTATTATTCGAGTAACTAAAAATAGGGTAAAATATACAAATGATCCCTTAATTATAGGGTATTATTTTATTAAGTCCCTTGACTATTAAAAGTTACAAAATGATCTTTATCTATATAATGTTGTTTTGTTAAGTCATCGACTATTAAATGTTACAAATTGGACACCTGACTATTCATTATGTTCCAAACTCGTCATTTTTCGTTAAAAAAATTCGACGATTGTCTAAGCTAGACATTAACAAGATGATCGAGATATGATAGTCATTAGAGATTCATGGATTAGATTTTATTATATCACAGTTAGCAGGTTAACGTTTAACTCATAATACCGTCAATCTTTTAGCATAAAAGAATGAGTTGAGAGACTTAACGAAGCAACACTCTATAATCAGATGATCATTATATAATTTTTAATAGTCGAGACTTAATAAAATAGTATCTATAGTCGGAGACCATTTACATAATTTAATCTTAAAAATAAAGTATATATAATATATCATTGTTCGACTTAATTTGTATTTTTTAATACTAATGTTTACACATGTAACGCACGTTTTATTTATTTATTTTAGATAAAAATTCATATATTTTCATTTTAAATTTTTCTATTTTTAATTTAATCTTCTGATGTATCATATCAACCCTTACAAGGTCATGTAGGATAATGCTTTGTGTTGTTAGACACAATTTAAAAAAATACAATTAATATAATAATCCTTTCAAAAGCGCATTTGATGTCAGCGTCTTTGCTTAATTGACACTAAAAATAAATTAATTTAATAAACGAATATTAGAAGGATATTATTTTCATAAATCATTTTAATATAGATAAATTAATTTATCATTAATATGTTATTTATTTTTACCATTAATAATAAAAAAGTAAAAAATAGTTTTTATATAGGAATTGAATTTCACAAAAATAAAATAAAAATATTAAATACTAGTGAACCGATGTAGGATTGTATGGGTGGGAATAAGGAGGCTAATATGGCCTTGAATTTCTAAGTTCAGTCTAGCAACAAACAAAGTCAATCAAAAGGAGACTGACTAAAAATAATCTTTTTATGAATTAAAAGGATATCGTTAAAAACGGATGAACAAATTCATTTTTAGGCAGATTGTTAATATTTTCACCATTTTTAGTAGTCATTTTGTGTGGCTAAGAGTAATTGTCTTTTAAGTTTTTTTTATAGTTTTTAAAAAAATATTTTTTAATATATATTTTTAAAGAATGAGGTTTACATGTGAACTATAAAGATCGTGATCCTATAACTTATTACAAGTCTAGAAAGGTGAAAAATTCATAAACTAGAGAAGAAAACAATGAAGTCTACAATAAATAATGGCACCTTGGCGTTATATTTATTCATTTGCATCTCTTTCTTTCCTTTATTAGACGCTGAAAACAAACTAGTTACCGAAACTTGTCAAAAGCTCAAGGAAAAGGATCTTTGCCTCTCAAGGCTAGGAGCTGAACAGGCCAGCCAAGACGCAAAGGACATAGTCGCTCTCACATTGATCGCCATCAATGTCGCCGCCAGCAACGGCTCGGAAACCGCAACGTTCATCCGGACGACACTCTCCGAGAGCGCCGAAACTTTAGCTCCTACCACGGAGCAGAATTTCGAAGATTGCTCGGAGAATTTCGAAGACGCGATGCAGGACCTCGATGATGCCCTGGCACTCGTTACGTCAAGGGATTTCAAGGGTATGAAAACCGAGGTGGGAACCGCGCTGGACGACGCCAACGAGTGCGCAGCCGCGTTGAATCAAGGCGAAGGGAAAGACTTGGAGCTGTTTAATAGGACTAACAACTTCCTCCAACTATGTTCTATTGTCGACGACCTAGCCCATATTTTGGCTCCGAGTCACGACGGCGCCGATGGTCCGAATTCCGACAACGGTGATAATTTGGCTCCGAATTCTGGCAATGGTGATAATTTGGCTCCGAATTGAGTTATTTACCCGCCTAGCTTCATTTCCCTACTGCAACATAATTAATATTCTTGCATGTTTACGATTCCCATTCGCTTCGTACGTTAACTTTTTTTAAATTTAATATCCAGTAGATTTAAAGTTTGAATGTTTAATACATAGATGGAATTAGAATCGAATATTGAAAAAGGGATAAACTGCTTAATTTTGAAACAATAAAAATGTATTCGATATTTAAATTTAAAAATGGAAGGATTAAGTAGTTTCACAACACGTCTATTATGCAGATGAGAGAGTCAAACTATGGGAAAAGAACTCAAACCCTCTTGGAAACATCTTCTAAATTTTAACGGAACGTGGCTAGATTTAAACCAAATAAATAGTTATGTGATTATATTGTTAAAAATTGAAAGTATGATGGTCATATTAATACTAACCTCATCGTGAAGTGGTCATTTGGTAATTTACCATACGTTTTATAGGGTAAACTACTCAATTGACCACTTAACTATTTAGCCCTTTTACTTTTTCCATCCATCTTTCAATTTAGTCAATCACACCACTTAACTATTTAATTTGTTTAATCATATCACTAGCGGTTAATATTCGATGGAAATGCTGACGTGATAGTTAAAAGAATTGATATAATTTTATATTTAGTCATTAATATTTATATATTCTTTCAATTTGGTCATAAATTAAATTAAATTTTATAAATTAACCATTCAATCAGGATCTGACATGTGTCAGAACAAGAGCATGACACGTGTCACTATATGATTGGATGATACATTTTTTATTAATTTTAATATTTAATTAAATAATTTTTCTATTCAATCAAGTGATAACACGTGTCAACACCCGATTTGTATAGAAAATAATGAGAATAAAATTGAAGTTCGGTGGAATCAAACCAGCAACTTAAAATGTGAAAGATGACCGTCCCAATCACTGCACCAAAGGTGCCAATTATTTAAAACTTACAACAAATGTTACTTATCCTTTAAAAGGTTGTTATTGGTAAAAGTAGAAGTAAAAAAGAAATTTTTATATTTTAAAACAAAAGTTAATATTTTACTTTTGTATTATCGCCTAATTGGAATTAAAATATAAAAATCTTAAATTTAATAATATTAAAAATATTATAAAAATATTTAAAATATTAAAAATATTATTAAAATATTTAATTTTAAAATATAAAAAATGAAATATAAAAAATATTATTATAAATCTTAAATTTATTATAGCTAGAAATATTAAATTATTTTTAAATTATAAAAATGTTAACTTTTGTTTTAAAATATAAAAATTTCCTTTTACTTCTACTTTTAAGATTTATAATAATATTTTTATATTTTAAAAAAATGTTAATAATAACTTTTGTTTTAAAATATAAAAAATTCTTTTTACTTATACTTTTAAGATTTTAAAGGCTAAATAACATATGTTTTAAGTGTTAAATAATTGAGACCTTTGGTGCAGTGGGTGGGGCGTTCATCCTATACCCTTTATGTCGCTGGTTCAATTCTACTGGACTACAATTTCATTCCCATTATTTTTCGACCAATCGGGTGGTGACATGTGTCATCTCCTGATTGGATAAAAATATTTAATTAAATAAATTAAAATTAATAAAAAAAATCTAATCATGTAGTGACACGTGTCATTAACGACATGTGTCATGCTCTTGTGCTGAGACATGTCAGATCCTGATTGAATGGTTAATTTATTAAATTAAATTTATGACTAAATTGAGAGAATATAAAAATATTAAGGACTAAAATGTAAAAATATACAATTTATTTTAACTGCCACATCAGTATTTCCGTCAAATATTAACGGCTAGTGGTTTGATTGAACAAATTAAATAGTTAAGTGGTGTGATTGACAAAATTGAAAGATCAATGACAAAAATAAAAGGGCTAAATAGTTAAGTGGTCAACTGAGTAGTTTACCCAATTTTATAACTGGTAGAATTAACAACACATTGATGAAAGAACCAAAATAGAATGATATTGATAGTTTGATGAGTGATAAATAATATCTAAAAGTTCATAGATCAATTTAGAATGTATCATAATTCAAAAATTGATATAAAATATTTAAAAGTTTAAGGATTAAATAGAATATAGATCATAGTTCAGGGACATCCTATGCAATTATCTTCTTTTTTAAGTTAATAACTATAGTACGGACTGTGCAATTCATTAACACATGAATAGCCAATAAACATAATTAAATAATTTTGATATAACAAAGGACTAAATTGAAAATTTTGTAAAATTGATATTTTTATCATATTCGATCCAAAATCTTTCAAGTTTGTAAAAATATTTTTAAAGACCAAAAAGTCAAAAAAAAATTTAAAAATGTTTTTGGAATTCATAAAGATTTAAAATACTTTAGCAAAACAAAACAAGGCTAATTTGTAAGGTTTTTGAGCATGGTTTCGAAACCCATGAGACAATAGCAAAAATTAGCCTTAAGGTTTCAAAACCCCCTTCACTGGTTTCAAAACCCCCTATTTAACAGTCAAGGGTTTTAAAACCCCTATACAGATTTGCATTGAATGCGTGAATTTATTGCTCCAAACGGCTCCAAGCTCCATCCAATAACCCCAAATGCCCAAAAATCAATGATGACATATAAAAGGGGTCTTCAAACAATCAAGAAGAGACAAGAAAGCTATTTCAACAATCAAAGAGCAAAAATAGCCAAATTTGTATTCAAATTATGTCTTTCCTACATAGAACACTATTTCATTCACTGTAATCTCTATTTTAGTGTTCTTAGGTGCGTGTGAGAACTTCAATTTGCAAACAATCTATCATTATGTGGGTTTTCAAATTTTTCTTATTTGTAATTACTTCTTGAGAAGGGTTGAACACTCAAGACTTTGGGGTATAAGTTTTAGTGTCGTGTAAGGTTACACCTTGTTTACAAGATTAGAATAAATTAGTGAATTTGTTAAAATTCTTAGTCATGAAGCTAAGGTAGTGGATGTAGACTTCATTAAGGAAGTTGAACCACTGTAAAATTCTTGTGTCCTTTTTTTTTTCTTACAAAAGCTTCCCACAATTTTTATTGCATATCACCCCCTCTATGTCACTTTCCTCGATCATTTAACTCAACAATTGATATCAGATCAAGGCTAATTAGAAGGTTTTAGAACCTCTTGAGAAGATTCTAGAAGAGTCAAGTCATCATCCAATTCACCCATGTCCTCTACACCAAGTTTCGTCATTGCCAATGATTCCCAACCTATTTAAAAGCCTCCATACTTCAATAGAGCCAACTATGCCTATTGGAAGAATATGATGATATTTTCATTCAAGTAAATGATTTGGGAGCATGGCTCATGATAAAAGGACATTCTACTCTAACTAGAGAAATGGAGGAGTGAGTGAAGAAGAAAAGAAATTGTTCCAACTAAATGCAAAGGCAATGCACATTCTATTTTGTGCACTTTGCTCCGACGAATATGGAAGACTACCATCTTGTTCCTATTCCGATGAGATTTGGGACAAACTTGAAGTTACTCATTACAGAACAAATGAAGTAAAAGAAACTAAGATTAGTCTTCCAATCATAATTATGAAAACTTCAAGATGAAATCGGATGAGGATATCAAAGTTATGAGGTCCAACAAAGGAAAAAGATTCCAAAGAAATGAGGGCTTCAAAAATGAATCCAAGGAGAAGGATTCTATTATTTTCTTTGAGTGCAAAAAACCTGGGTATCAAGTTTGAATGCCCACAATTGAAGAAGAAAAGATCCTCCAAGAAGAAACACAAGGCACACATAGCTAAATGAAGTAATGTTGAGTCTGTCAATAAAGAGGAGGAAGAAGTAGCCAACTTGTGTCTTATGTCCATAGAGGATGATCCTAAGGTAACCTCTAATTCATTATTTCAAATGAGTATTCCTCTGATGAATTACGAGCGGATTATGATAAATTAGCCTTAGAATTTGAGATTATGATTTCTAAAAATAAGAAAAATACTTCTAAATTGAAAAATGAAAATGATCTCCTTTTTAGGACTAATCTGAGCTTGAAACGCAAGTCAAAACTATGCAAGTCAAACTTGAAGAGTTTGAAAAGAAAAAAAAAGATTTACATGACTTGCTTTCAAAGGCTCATGATGATCATCAAAAGAAGCTTGATGATATTGCTTCTTTTAACAATGTTGGGGCAAAAAGATTTGAAAATGTGAAAACTCAAAACTCAACTATGTTAAAAATAACTTTAATTATTACAAACATAGAGGTCCCCAAAGAACCTCATATAGAAAAGTTATTAGAAGCATATGGGTCCCCAAAAGACTAATTTCTACTAATGATAAGGATATCCTTGAAAAAAGGATACCAAAGGGTACAAGATTATTAGGAACTAATACTAATAGACCTAAAAAATTTGAGTACCAAAAATCAAAAATCAATTTATGCTTGTATGTGGAGCATTGCAACAAGGCACAAAGAAAAAGTTCAAATTCATGGTACCTTGATAGTGGATGCTCAAGACACATGACCGATGATAAGAGATGGTTCTTGGAGCTTAAAGCTAAAACTGGAGGAGTAGTAACCTTTGGTGACAACTCAAAAGGTCACATTGAGGGAATATGTCACATTGAGGGAATAGGTTCCATTGGTAACAACTCTTCCATTCTTATTGAGAATATTTGTATGTGAATGGGTTGAAGCATAATCTACTTAGCATTAGTCAATTATGTGATAAGGGATACAATGTCTTATTTGAGTCTAATGGTTGCAAAATTATTACATTGCATCTAATATGATTATGCTTGTTGGTTATATGATAGGAAATATACATGGTGCATCTAAATAACATTGATATTTCTAATGTATGCTTGGTTACTAAAGATAAGCATAATTGTTGGTTATGTTATAGAAAACTTGGACATGCTAACATGAGTGCTTTACAAAAACTTGTTCAAAGCAATCTAGTAGGATGCCTAAGATAAAATTTGATATTGATAAGATTTGTGATGCATGTGCTAAGG